TCAGATCGTATTGCAATGTGTATATCGGACAGTGAACCAAACAATGTTCCGACATGGATCCACACGTGATAGCTAAGCTAAAATAAACGCTAATTTAGCGTTAAGCCGTATGAAGCTCCAAAAGCGCGCTACCACACTTTCATCTTCCACAAGGGTTACCAAATTATCCAGAACGACATCAACTCACTGAACAGTCAACACTCGACGACAAGTAAAAAAATTTGTTAAATCTAAAATAATCAGTTTGTCATTTGGTGGTATTTCAAATTCTTGATTCTTTGCTCATTTGTCCGACATTCCTTTGTCCTACCCGTCCCCACTGCATGTTAAAACCCTTTCACATTTACTGTTACACGCGAAACCAAGAAATCAACCCTATCTTATGCCTGACAGCATTTTTCAAAAATCAACCTTACGCCTCTTATCAATAATCCCCTTTTACTCTTTTCGACTTGAAATCAAATTCGGTATTTCCACCGAAAGCTGTGAAGCAACGAACTCATGAGTGTGTCGAGTCTTGCACACCCAACATTTCATACAATGGTAGATGACAGCATGGAGATAGCTTCCGAGCATGGTCACAATACAGCCGAGGAAGATATCGATATCGATATCGATCTCACTACTGGCAATGTTGACGAAGATGATATTCTAGATGATATCGATGCAGATGCAGACTTCGATACCAATATTACCGATGTACCTGCACATGTCGAGACAGACGATCTGATGGTCGACGATGACGGTGATGATGCATCATACCATATGGAGGATGCAGACTTACTGGAGGAGGAAGCCGATGATCACGTCATGGAACAGGAACCTGCTGTTTTGTCGTTTGCAACCGATGAACCTTCCGACACTTCTTTTACTGAGCTACACGCCACAGAGTCGAATTTCGTGGGTACTGGCGTTTCCGATCAATTTTGGGACGAGCCACAAGAACAAAATGAAGTTATGAATGCGCAAGACATAGAAGTAAATATACATGGCTCAGAAACCGTAGTCGACAATAGTGCCGATAGTACACAAAATTCAGACTCCAAGGACTCCAAGGAGTTTGCACCTGTTTCGTTTCCTCATCCGCCCACTGATGAAGACCCACAATCCAATAGCCCACCAAACTCCAACTACGATGGCACTACTCAAGAAGAGCTTGAAAGCAATGTTAATGAGCCACCAAACCCCAACCACGATGACACTACTCAAGAAGAGCTTGAAACCAATGTTAATGAGCCAACAAATTCCATCGAGGCAACTGATTCAAATATATATGCGGAGGATGGAGAGCAACTTGGATCGAGTACTGCATCTACTGAAAGTGCCCCAATCGATCTCAATTCACATACCGAAGGACAAGAGCAAGAGCCAGAGCCAGAACAAGAGCATCCAGATCTGAACACGGTCTCTGCGGAAAGTGACTTGATCGACACAAATAACTCTACACTCGAGTCTACGAAAGATTCGGAGTATCAATATCATGCTCGTGGAATAGTAGTCAAATACAATAACCGAAGTTATCCATTGATTAGGAAGTCTTCCACAGATCACCCTAACGATTTTTTCTTCGAAGATTCCTCTGTAGTTGAGAAAACGTTAAATGAGTTTTGCTCCGAGATTCGTAAAGTCCTCGCAGAGGAGAACTTGCCCCAAGATGACAAGATAAGCCTGGTTATCGAGGAGCTTCAGTTAGTGATTGAAGAGGTGAGCCTTGAAGATATTCCACCCCCGTTCTTGATTTTTGCTAACTTTCTCTGTAGACGCAACTCCCAAGCTATCCTCCCGACTTGAGCTTATGCCAAATCATTCGCCTATATGAACAACTAGTCAACAATGACGGCACTGGAGAAATCCCCCCTTTGAATCTGAGACTCGTTATCCAGCCTACTGGTCCTGATAGATTTCTAGCGCTCTCAAAAGGGGCCGCTGAGGGCAAGGGACTACTTGAATTTGTGACTTGGGACGCCGAAAGCGAAGATGATCCGACCGAGTTCGGAGATCAGACGGAACATTATGACAGCGAATCCTCCCCCGACGAGTACAACACCGAGCTCGAGGATGGAGACGAGTCTAAAAAAACCATTGATACACATAACGAGAACTATGACCCCGGTTTCAATCATGACCAACCAAATCAAAACGTAAATTCTACCATTTCGGCCAGTGCTGAAATTCCTCAAGTGGAGCAGGGGGATAAGCAAGGAGAGGTTGGAAATCAAGAGTCAGTATCTACAACGGATCGCAAATCGCCCGAAACTTCGGAACAGGCCAACAACGAGACTGAAGAAGATGGAGACTTTATCGATTATGAAGATGAAGAGGACGCCGAGAAGCCATCGGGCGATGGAGCTCTGAAGTCCGAGTTGCCCGACGCCAATGAAAGTAGGCCACACAACGGTAGATACACCGATTTCAACTTGCTATGCGTTTTCCCTGATATCTGTTTTTGTTTCACTTGTAATAATCTTGATCTAACTGAACGTCAATTGGTAGAAGAAGAATATCCTCGAAAGCTACTAGTCTCCAACAAAAAAGAGAATGATTCTGATGAATTAGACGACCAACTTGGCGACGAAACGACCCATACTGATGAAGTTGCACAACCTAAGGAAACTTTTGACGACGTAGGAAGCGACATTGACTACGAAGAAGAGAACGCCGATAATAAGTTCGACGGCGAGGAAGAAGACGGAGCAGCACCAAATGACATTGAAAATGCAGAAGATGAGATCGACTTGAACGCCACCAATGACGAGGATCGTGAGTATGCCTCATACGAGGATAATAACGAAAACGAACAACACGAAGATGACAAAGGCCTTGAGTTAGCAGATAATAGACCAGAAGTACCTTGCGATGTTAATGAAATCGAGCAGAATGGAGACAGCGAAGGTTTAGATCTTGCGGATCATACTCTGGAAATAAATAACGTGGAAATTAGTTATGACGACGATGTTGGAGATGGACAGCAGCAGAATTTTGAGGGAGACGAGTTTGATTTAGGTGTTGACGACGAAGAAACCGCGTTCCTCCAAAACTACCAATTGGACGATGACGACACTTTCAATGATAACGAACTCCTAAATATGTCTGTGGGCGAGGTTATCTCCAATACCAATGCTACCTTCGATGACACAGCAGCCGAGACAGACAGCGCTACGTTGAGCAATGCTTCGATCGCCGAACCCCAGGCAACGAAGCTTGATCTCGACAATCGACAAGACCAAGAAGACGAGATCGATTACGATGAAGATGAAAATGAAGAGAATCCCCCATCTCTAGTAGTTGCTCCTCAGCCTCCAACTCCAAAGTCAAATGATTCACCCATTTCGACCTCAGGGAAGAGACCCAGAGCTGATGCAGACTTCGAAGATGGCGATGAATCGAACATCAATGGTGAGTACTTTTTGAATTTTTTCAACCGGTTTAGGAATTGTGCTGATATTAAATAGAAGCTAAGCGAATCCGCTCATGATTTCAACATGCTATTGCCATTATCATTTGGTTCATGCGGCATTTCTACTTGACTTGTCTAGTGTTTACCATTCTGATTATGTTCGCTTCCTCAACGTCTTCGAAGTTTTTCTATCAACTCTGTTTGACAGCTGACAGATACAATATTCAACAACAATTTGATGATTCGGGACAGCCTCGATACGTGAACCGATCGCAAAGAGAATTACTTCAACCGACAATTTCATTAGGTAGGTCTTTTTAGGTATGATGATGTTAACCCCTTCTAATATTTCTCCATCCCCTTAATCCCCCCCCTATTCATGTGATGCTATTCAAATTCGCTCTCAAACTTCTAGCAACCGGTTCTATTGCATACGAAATGCAATTTAGTGGCCGTGGCGGGATTTATAGGAGGCCAAAATTTGGGGAATACATGCAAGGAATTTTCTATGGAGTTGGGGGTTTACAAGATATGTATATGCGCGATACCCCTCGATACAAGACGGTTTGGATTTCGTTGGTATGCAACTTTATGGAAAGCATATGGATGGAAAACGACTGTGTACTTTGGAGTGGTTGCTGTTTGCTTTGTGGGGGGTCTCGAAATTTGGCTATCTAGGTAGTTCGTAGGTGGTAAAAATCTCTGTCGCCAAATAAAAGCACATTCATTATATTATCTAAGATTCAAAATCTCATGAATTGACCTGAACCTACAAATTTGAATGTTTCTATTGTCGGAACTTGGCTCGGACATTGAAATGGAATCCGTTATTCGAAATTAGCTCGGACTTTCAATTCAATCTTTGAATTGAATTCAGACATTGAGAATTGTAAGCATTCCAATCTTCAAACTTGATTGGAACATTGAAACTTTGACATCTGGGTACGTATCTACATACCTAGAACAGTACAACTCGTAATGACAGATCCTTCCTGTGCAACTCCAATGACTGTTAATCCCAAGAAGCCAGTCAATCCATAAGTTTGTACATGATCATGGACAAATCTAGCCACTTAATAATAATACACCTCATGCTGGATCCTGGGTCCTGGGTGAGCATTCCGTGCTGGAAGAATTTGATGGCACAGCCTCATAGACCCATTGCGTGCGCGTCAAAGATCCCTACCATACGACTTTTAAGTTTTAGCACATGCGTGCGAATCGTTCCTTTCACACCAACCAACACGAAGACAATCAAGTGAGCTGCAAGTTACGAGTACAAGAGCTTTTATACTGACCTCAGATCTACATGGACCGATGGGGTACTGGTAAGTGGTATATCTGTTACGATGCACTTTAATATAGCACGACGGGTAGGGAAGAAAAGGGGCATAAGGTTATAGTATAGCATAATAGAAGGCATGGTAGAGCATACGTAGAGTAGAGTAGATATATTGATATGTATGATATCTGATGATTTCCGTTACAAGACTTTGTGATCAAGCTCTACCTCTACCTCTTCCTCTACCTTTACCTTTACCTTTACCTTTACCTGCCTACTGGCAAACCTCGCATGGTACTTCTTACGAACGTCTTTACTCGACCTTAATTTTGTTTGACTGGAGTACTCCGTGTACTAAATTTAGAGGAACTATACCTGAACTATACCTGAACTATACCTGGTAGAGTAGCAGCCAGCCAGACCTACCTACCAACTACCTAGCTTGTCCACGGGTGAGCCAGCCCAGCCAAACACAGTTGGCCCAAACAGAGAAATAGGTCAAAGTTCCATGAACCACCTGCATTCAACCACTCAACCATTCAATTCAATCACTCGAAGCAAATGAAAGAAAAGACCTTGACTTTGGTAGTTTCATCTCTTGATTTTTCAACTCCCTGCCGCTTGCTTGTACTTGTACTTGTACTTGTACAGTAAAAGTACACATAGTGCCACCCAATTCGCGAATTTCCGCCCCTTGAAACTTTCTACCTCAAACCTCACTCCCAGCTTCAAGCTTCAAAATTCAAACCTCAATCCTCGACCTCCATATTTCGAACATCCGGAATTTTATAAAAAGTCATCCCACATTGCCAAGAACTTTGTGACTTCAATTATCCAGCATTTCGAAATAATCCTTCGAGCCGCTCATTGGATTTCATTCATTCATTCATCCATCCAATAAATCACCATCAAATTAATAAAAAAACATCATTCATTATTTGTTGCCTCGGTCGACAGGCATTCGAACTACAGAATTATCACTAAAGCTAGGGGTGAAACTATCTCATGACACTCCACGTCGACTTGCGATCATCACACTCAACAATTTTGCGAAGAACGCTCTACGGCGATAATTAGACTCCAAGAAGTCCCACGATTTATTTGCGCCGATTTATACACTTGCGCTACCCTCACTTTGATATCCTTGCGAGGTTTTTCATGAGCGTGAGCTCAAAGGCTCAACAAATCAAATAAACACCTTGCAATACCGCTAGGAGGGAAATCTTAACTCTGCGCAGTCGAGATGTTGGAAGACAAGTACGTCAATGGCATCCGGAACCCGATCAATCGCGCATGGAGTTTTGCTGGGCGTTTCCAACAGGCAAAGGCTGACTGGTGATAAAGATACATAGGGCTGGCTTTAGCCGTCACCTCAACTATGGCGATAGGTATGGATATACAGATTATGGCGAAGTAGAAAAAATGAGACTAACATTGCGTTTCCCTGACAGGCACAAGTTTCGTCATAACTAAAAAGGTATGAATATTCACATTTCAAATATTGATTTGTAATCATTTACTGACGATTACCTTAGGGGCTCATGGATGCCGAAGAAAGACACGGTTTCGAAGGAGATGGATTCACATACTTGAGGAGTCCGATATGGTGGGGTGGCATAATAGCATGTACGGATCAACTTGCATACCACGCGGGGAAAATTAGCTAATGGGATATGAACAGTAATTGTCGGAGAAATAGCAAATTTTGCAGCATATGCGTTCGCCCCAGCAATTCTGGTCACACCTCTTGGAGCGCTCAGCGTTTTGATCGGAGCGGTTCTAGGGTCGTACTTTTTGGATGAGAAACTTGGTACATTGGGGAAATTGGGCTGCGCGACGTGCTTGATAGGATCGGTCATTATTGTCCTTCACGCGCCCCCGGACAAGGAGATCAAGAGAATTGATGAGATTCTTCACTATGCTATCCAACCAGGTATGCTAAAAGGCTCCCTCGCTTCTGAAGCATGCTAATATCGGCAGGATTCCTTTTCTTTTGTCTTTTCGTTGCAGTTTTTGCAGTCGTTATGATATATAAAGTCGCCCCTAAGTATGGCAAGAAGAATCCTCTAGTTTACTTGTCGATTTGTTCAACTGTCGGCGGTGTTTCAGTCATGTCAGTAAAGGCATTTGGTATTGCAGTAAAATTGACATTGGGTGGTGAAAATCAATTCATCTATCCCTCAACCTACGTCTTCATTATCGTAACTGTAGTCTGTATCTTGACACAGATGAACTACTTCAATAAGGCATTGAGCCAGTTTCCTACTTCTATGTAAGTCATGTCCAATTTTGAGCTCGTTTTTTGATCCTGACGTCTACCCAGCGTAAACCCACTTTACTACGTTACTTTCACGACTGCAACACTTACCGCCTCATTCATCTTGTACGGCGGTTTCAACACTTCTGATGCGGTCAACACAATTTCACTCCTATGCGGATTCCTTGTCATTTTTACAGGGGTTTACTTACTCAACGTCTCGAGAACTGACCCTGAAGGAAACAAGATGGTATCCGGTACAGACGGTATAGCAACCGACCCCCTTTCCGGCCTATCGACGAGACGAAGTATGCAGGCCCGCCGAAGCAACGATCCGCACAGGATGAGCATGGGAAGCAACGGATATGGCCGAGGAGACAGAGAGGGGCTGATCCATGCATATGATGAAGAAGAGAACGCAGGGTTCGGTCTTGCGGACCTAGCAGACGATAGCGACGACGATTCGCTACCTCCACGAGCTATGAATGGGAAAATCAACGGGCATAGCAGTAAAAAGAGTTTCAGCGAGCCATTAGAGCAGGAGAGGCCGAGTAGATCATCCAATCGGTGACCTCTCCAATAGAAATATCAGTTTATTTGATGTGATGACACACGTTTCGAAACTATTGCGGAAAAGTTCGGGCTGTATATTTCATATGCTAAGGGTAAGGGTTGGAATTTATTCGTGAGGGTCGTGCGTGTTTTTCTTTCTTGTTTCATTAGAATATTATTTTGGTGGCAGGCTGGTCTGCTGGCTGGGGCTATATCTCAAAGTACGACTGCATGAGGATCAGGCGTTTGGGTTGCTATTGTGTACAAAATGAGACGGTTGGGGGAAAGACATCTATCTGTACGATATCTACATGGGTAAATCAAGGAATGGGCTCTTATGAGGCGCTATAAGCTTAGTTTGACTCTCACTTTTGAATTCAAGCTGAAGTGGTGGCATTTGGTATCACATTTAATAGTATCATGTAACATTATTTTCAAGTGTTTTTAAAGCCGTAAATTTCGTTGGCTAGATGTGAATACAAGTCCGTGAACTATGAACTCGCAGGAAACGCCCATCCTATTTTACTATTCCATAAATTTATTCCTCTTGGGGAGCTGGAGCAGCCTCTTCACCAGCCTGTTCCGATGAGCGAGCGGCCTCAGCAGCTGCTTGAGCAGCGGCAGCCTTCGCACCGTAATCCTGGCTCATAGGTTGAACCACACTTTGCTCCTCCTTTGGCTCGATGATGGTGACGGAATCTGGGAGACCCTTGGATGGTCCAGACTTTCCTTCTGGGTCAGATCCTCTCATGATCTTGACCTTGATACCGAGAACACCTTGCTTGAGGAGAACGTGACGGGTGGCGTGGTCAATGAAGTCCTTTGCTGGTTGACCGGAGTGGATCATGAAACCATCAGTGAACTTCATGGACTTGGCACGAGCAGCACGTAATTTTCCAGAAACGACAACCTCACAACCCTTAGCACCAGACTCCATGATGAATCTGAGAACACCGTAGCATGCTCTGCGGACGGCGAGACCGTTAAGGAGCTTGTATCTGAGGGATTCGCATTGAGCGACGGCGGAGAGACCACGGTTTTGGACCTTGGCGGCGTAGAGGGAAACGCTGTTCTCTGGGAACTTGAAGCGCTTTTGGATGAGGGAGGTGAGTTCGCGAATGCGGCGTCCTTGCTCTCCGAGAACTTCTTGAGTGTGGGTTGCGCGGATGATGATGTCGGTGACGGTTGGGGTGACACGGACTTCGACACCGGAGTATCCCTCCTCAGCCAACTCGCGTTGGAAGAACTCGTTCAATTCGGCGTAGAAAACACCATCGGCGACGAACTTTCTGCGCTTGGAGCTGTACACAAGAAATTCATGATTAGCCCCGCGAACTTTTTTTCTTGTTGAATGTTGAATGAGCTGTAGCAAGGGCAATTTCTTACATAGCGGCACCTGGAACACTGGAAGCCATATTGTCTGATTTATGAGTTATGAACCGGTGGGAAAAAGGTTCAACGTCGTCGTCGTGATTGTCGTGTGGTCGATGGTCGCGAGTTCGAAATTGAATCTTGTTAATTTTCCTACGAATTCCTAGCGTATGTGGGATTTTAAGCGAATTGGAAGATAACAGCCTTTATTACGAGGCTCCAATAATTCTCATAAGGCTCACAAATTAAAGCCCCACTAGACCCCCATGTGGCATGAGCCGTATAGCTACAGCCTGATTGGAACGTCAGGGATGCTACGTAACTGATATGATATCGAATTTCAGTTCATGAAGATGATCAAATATCCATAATACAACCAAAAATTATTCAAAAATATCTACATATCCGCCCTCAGAATTCAGAATAAATTACAGAGCTAGAATACGAAAGAAGACTCTTAAACTTCAAATGATTTGTATTATTTATACTTCAACCGAGTGCGCCGAGCCATAAATAAAAATGGCAGACAAGCTCAAGATATCAAAGGTTGGTCAGACATTGAACTCCTGCCGCGCAATTGAGAGTTGATCAACTAATTTTTGTAATCACTTCATAGGTGGATGACGTTCAGGTAGTAGCTCGGGGGCAAGCTTCCAACGTTACACTACACTTAACAGCCCATCATTTAATCGTAGTTCAAGCACCTCTTCCTCCGCCGGAAACTTCGCAACAAGCATCACCAACGCAAAAGCGCACAGGGGCTCCGGTCAGGACGAGGGAGTCATGGATAGCATATCCTATGATAGCACACTGTACATTTCGACCAACTTCGCCAGGATCTGCGCAAGCTTCTTCTATTCGTCTCCGGGGTCGAGACTTTAATTATTATACTCTTAATTTTGCGGATGACAAGCAAGCTCGAGAAACATTCGAAAGCTTGAAGAACTCAACGTGCAAGTTGGGTAGTATTGAAAGATTATATGCGTTTAGTTATAAAGCGCATGGGGCGGAAAAGCAGATAAACGGATGGGACGTATATGATCCGAAGGCAGAATGGAAACGTTTGGGAATAAGTGAGAAGGGGGTTGATAGAGGATGGAGGTTGTCTAAGATGAATCACGATTACGCCTTCTCTCCTACCTACCCAGCCTTACTTCCAGTTCCTTCATCTGTCTCCGACATCACAATCAAGCACGCTGCCCAGCACCGTTCGAGGGCCCGGATACCGGTTCTAACATACTTACATCCTGTTAATAATTGCGCTTTGACCAGATGTTCACAACCCCGGACTGGTATGCGACAAGCTCGCAGTGTACAGGATGAGAAGTTGGTTAGCGCATGTTTTTCGGCAACATTACAGGTTGATGAGGTGGACTCGGTATCTCCAGCGGCATCTAGAAATAGTCCAGCTTCCAGTCAAGCCGATATCAGTACACCGAACAATGGAGAAGTGACAGATACGGAACGTTATGAGGATGAGATGCTTGCATCTGCGTCAAATATCGAGATTATAACCGAGAAACCTCAGGTGTATGGGGCACAGCAGAACAATTTGATTGTGGATGCAAGACCTCAGGTTAATGCTTACGCTAACCAAGTAAACGGCTTTGGTACGGAAAAAATGGAATACTATCCACTTGCTAAGAAAGCATATTTGAATATCGCAAATATCCATGTTATGCGAGACTCTCTGGCGAAAGTGATTGACGCTATTAAGGATGCTGATGTGTCCCCTCTTCCTCCAAATCGAGACCTTTTGGCAAAGAGCGGTTGGATAAAACACATCACTGGTATTCTTGATGGAGCGGCATTAATCGCCAGGCAAGTTGGTATACAACATTCGCATGTCCTCATTCACTGCTCAGATGGCTGGGATAGAACGAGTCAGCTAAGTGCTCTATCCCAGTTGATGCTCGACCCTTACTACAGAACGATAGAAGGATTCATAGTACTAGTAGAAAAGGACTGGCTAAGTTTCGGGCATATGTTTCAACATAGATCTGGGTTCTTGAATCATGAGAAGTGGTTTGTAACACAAAACGATGCTCTTGCTGGCTCAGCAATACAGCCGGGTGGGAACACTGACGGGCGCGGAGATGCTATCGAAAATGCTTTGCTAAGCGCCAAACGATTCTTCAATAAAAGTAACCACAGTCAAGAGAATGTCGATGAAGCAGATGAAGTTACAGTTGATCAATCTCCCAAGAGACCTATTTTAGACACGCTCCCTCAAAGTGATGTTACCAAGCCCAATGAAACTAGTCCAGTCTTCCACCAGTTCCTAGATGCAACCTATCAGCTTCTCCGTCAACACCCCACTCGCTTCGAATTTAACGAACGATTCCTTCGCCGACTTCTCTATCATCTCTATTCCTGTCAGTATGGGACATTCCTCTACAACAATGAAAAGTCTCGTGTAGACGCTCGCGTCAAAGAACGCACCAAGAGCGTCTGGGCATATTTCTTGTCCAAGAAACCGGAATTTACTAATAAGGACTACGACGGAGAAATAGATGATCACGTTAAAGGAAAAGAACGTTTGATATTCCCTAATTTAGAGGATGTAAGATGGTGGCATCAAGTGTTTAATCGCACTGATGAAGAAATGAACGGACCGCATAATCCCGCCATGGAAAGATATCTAGCACTCAGTGCAAACAACAGTAACGGACTCAACACAACTGCAAGTGTAAGTTCGCCGCCAGGAGCGCCACCCGGTCGTACGGTTCTTGCGGGCCTGGAAGCGGGGACTCCGACGAGACGAGGTTCAAATGGGATGACAACGGTTAGTGGCAATCCATTCGCAAGTCTGAGAGATGGAATTGCGGGGCTGGGAATTGGAAAGGCAACGGGGTTGGGGGGTTTAGGGGGCATGGGAAGTGCTAACCAGAGCGGTCCGGCAAGTCTGAATGGGAATAGTAAGGAAATGGAAATGGAGGTTGAGATGCAATGATGATATCATACGACTGTTAGTTTTGGGATGGATGATTAGGAAATTGCCTATCCAGGCTGGCGTTTAAACCGAGCTGGGGAATGTGTATTTCTGAGAGACGGAGGAAAGGGAAAGGAAGTAAATGGGAGAAGATTTTCTTCTAATTATATCTCACCAAGGCACTGTAGGAGTAAAGGCGTACTGGTAGAGAAACGTTGTCAAAATGACGAAAAACTGTTATAACGTTTCATATTTTTTTGATAATTTTACTCATTATTCATACATCAGACATGCTATTCTAGTAGTTAAATAGCAAAAGTAGAGCCGCGAATCAATGCCTTCTTTTGGGAATGTTCTAGCTCGCCTTGTGGTCTATGTGCGATTGATGTGATTTGATAGCTTATAAGAAGACTTCGAGATTGATCTCCAAAGTACTGACAGGATATCTAGTGCATATTAGTATGTTACGTTCCCAAATCTACAAGCAGACATAGACTTACCTCAATTCGAATTTATCCAAAACGGTAGGATGCAAGATACCAAACTCTCCAACACGCACCTCCTTGCCTCCAAGCCGCAAATAGATCGCAGCCGCATGACCAGCAAAGAAGGTTGGCTCATTAATCTCCTCAATCCAGTATCCATCTGGTTTTGTTGGGTTCTCCTTGATTGCAAAATCCTGTTTCTTGCCCTCTAGCCCCTCCTCATGTGTAATGAATGCGGTTTGCAACATAAGCAGAATGCGATCGAGTAATCCATGGACAACTTCGAAACCACTGGTTTTGCCGTACCAGGCTGCTGCAAAATGACGCTCATTTCGCGATTTACGCTCCAAGCTCAAATCTTTGAACGCAACGTCAGACACTTCAAAGACTTTGAGGGGGAGACTGTGCTTCTTATTTTCACGGATGGTTTTGAGGAGACCGGGGAGGAGGGATGTGCGGACAACTTGATATTCAGCGGTCTTGGGGTTGGCAAGTCGAACAGCTGTAGTACCATCATCTTTGCGGTTGAGCCAAGCGAAATTCTCGTCGTGAGAGCAGAGAATTAGAGGCATGACTTCGCTCCAGCCTGCCATGGCGGTCTCCGTTCTAACTATGTCACCAAGTTTGTTGATTGGGAGGGGTTGAGCAATGGTGGAGGCTTTGTTTGGGGATGTACGGGGAAGATTGTTGAAGCCGTAAGCAATAGCCACGTCTTCCATGATGTCACATTGGTGAAGAACATCGGCTCTGGTTGTTGGTATCGAGACATCCAGTAAATTCTTATCCTTTGTGGAGGGTTTCGCGGACAAGCACATTTTCTTGAGAAGCTCACAAATCTTTTCTGGGGATTCTGAGAGACCACAGCAGTTGTTGATATAGTCGACCTCGGCCTCAGTTTCCCGTGGGCTAAGATTGGGAGTTGTTCGGGTTTCCTGGTTGTGCTCCGAAATAATCTCGACGGGCTCAATTGTGAATGGTTCCGCGCAGTATTGAGAGAACATAGAAACTATGATATTGTTTACGATTTCTAGTTTTGTGCGGTCCGTACCAGTCATCTCAATGAAAACATTCTTGGTATTCAAAGTAATCTTGGAATGATCTCCGTTAATGATTGGAGGCATGGACATGACAGTGCGATTTGAGTCGTAAATGACTGGATATACTGGTTTGTCCCGAATAATGTGTAGGTATTTTCCCAAGTGTTTGTCGTTCTCATAAAATTGCATTAATTCCTCCGCGTTCATCTCCTTAGTTTGGTTCAAAGGTGTGAAAACGATATCTTTTGGTGGAAGTGCCTCGTATGTGAAAGGTCCTTTGACTGTATCCATATCATGTGTACCAATCGCAACCAAGGTGCGCTGTCGGGCAAGATTCTGGTGTAGTTTGTCTTGCAGCGAGATGAAGGAGTCATAACCATCTTGAGTGAAAGTAACATTTCGCAGGATTGACGCCGAGACGTATGGTCGCACTTTCATAGTATCTTGGTGAACTGTCAAGGTCTCTAAATTTCCACTCTCAGGTTTAACCAATCTATGGTTTGGGAAGGGTTTCTTCTCTCTGAAGACATTCAGCATGAGAGCTATGCCCTCAAAACAGAGCATGTCATATCGGTTCGCAGGAATTTCGATTTTAAGTTGTGCAGGTTCTTGCTTTCCGTTGACTATTGGTCTTTCCGAATTTGATGTGTCCTCGTCCAATTCAATTCCAAACTCGAAACATAACTCTTCGAACTCCTCTGTGGTATACCTAAGGTATAATTTAGTTTACTACAACACATATGGGAAGCTGCGAAGTCACAGAAATTGTTTACTCACTCTTGCCCGAGAGCTTCGTAGAGCTTCGCTTTATCAACGCTGATGGTGGGCATCTTGACTGATTAGTTGCGGTTGCAATATTTGCTTCACAGTTTCTTAAATCAATATGAGCAATGAGTTATGAGTCGAAATAATTATTGGTGGGGTTGTATCAGAGGGGTCTGAACTGAGAGGTATAGGTGTATGCCTGAGGCTCACATACCAATGGGTCAATGATTGATTCTCAAAGGTTCAAACTCACCGAGAGCTGTCGCTGCCAACCAACATTAAATCTACCACCTCTTCTGAATTTTAAAGCGTTTGTCCAGCAACGCTACTTCAAATTTCAATTTCATCCTCTTTGCAGCAGTGTGTTTTAAAGGTTCGTTTCCAATAAGTTTCTTTCACTACGAAATCGAAGTCGGAATCTGTTTACAAAGACTCCTTCGTTGCTTCCCCCACCATATGCCACCCAGATATCTCGTAGACCTCACTGACATGTCATCGGCAGTCCCTAGGTCTGGATTATATCATAAGATTTATTCACCTCTCCCGCTTTTTCTTAGTCCCGGAGATTAATTACGAAGTTCCGTCAATCTATCAACAGGAACCTACGACCACGCGATAACCTCCTAAATATTCTCAACCACGAACAGAGTAAACAAACTCAGCACCTCACCTTATTAAACCTCCGAATTCACTCCATAAAGACTTCTACATATCTTCACAATGGCGGACGCTCCAGATAAGACTGACGAGCTCTATCCCATAGCTGTTCTCATTGATGAATTAAAGGTATTGAACCAAGGCGCATCACCTTCGAAGGCCAAGGCTTTGTTGCGCAGTACTGATAGCTTACTAGCATGACGACGTTACTTTAAGACTGAATGCCATTCATCGACTGTCAACGATCGCCCTCGCACTTGGAGCAGATCGCACAAGAGACGAGTTGATTCCCTTCTTAGACGGTATGGCGTGCGATATGGAACTATATTTTAGAACAATGGTTGACGATATTATGTAGAATCCGTCGAAGATGAAGACGAAGTTCTCACGGCTTTGAGCGAGGAACTCGGAAACTTTGTAGAATATGTTGGCGGGCCAGAGTTCGGCCATGTTCTTCTATCACCCCTCGAGAACCTCGCGGCCATCGAGGAACCCCTGGTGCGAGAAAAGGTTTGTCAATAGCACTGACATCTAGTTATAGCTATGCTGACCGGATTAGGCTGTGGAATCTTTAAACAAGATATGCGAGGAGCTATCTTCACAACAAGTCGAAGAGTACTTCATTCCCCTCACGATTCGACTTTCAAAAGCCGACTGGTTCACCTCAAAGATCTCCGCCACAGGATTATATAACGTACCATACAAAAAGGCGTCGCCTCCAATGCAAGAGCAGCTCAGGCAACAATTCGGCCTTTTGGTTCATGACGAAACCCCTATGGTCCGAAGACAGTCTGCAAACAACTTGTCGAAGTTTGTGAAGGAAATGCCCGCTACAATAGTTGTGGAAGAAATGATACCCTTGTTCCAACATCTTGCCGGCGATGACCAGGATAGCGTGCGTTTATTGACAGTAGAGATTTTGATTGCAATTGCGGAAGTCGTACCAAAGGAGCAACAATCAAGCCATGGAGTTCTACTCACAGCGTTGAGGAGTTTAATCGAAGATAAAAGTTGGAGAGTGAGATATATGGTAGCTGATAGATTTGAGAAGGTTGGTTTTACTCGGATTGTACGATTCTGGTGGACAGTGTTAACGCAGTTTAGATTGCAAAAGCGGTTGACGATGAAGTTGTAACAAGAGATCTTGTACCAGCATTCGTCAAGTTATTGAAAGACAGTGAAGCAGAAGTACGTACAGCAATTGCTGGTCAAATCCCTGGTATGTCTGGTCATTCCTGTTTTCCAAGATACCACACTAAACAAAAGGAAAGGTTTCTGCAAACTTGTCGATCACACCACCCTCTTAAACGACATCATGACCACTGTCGAAGATCTGGTTTCTGATACTTCTCAACACGTTCGGGCTGCTCTTGGTACCCAGATCAGTGGCCTTGCACCAATTCTTGGCAAGCAAGAGTAGGTTTTTTACGTCCATAGTTTATGATATTTATGCTTACAAGCTCTATAGGACCATCGATCACTTACTCCCGATGTTCTTGCAAATGCTCAAAGATGAATTCCCAGATGTCCGTTTACATATAATCTCCAAGTTGGAGTTGGTGAACCAGGTCATTGGCATTGATCTCCTCTCACAATCCCTTCTTCCTGCTATTGTACAGCTTGCTGAGGATAAACAATGGCGCGTTCGCTTGGCAATCATTGAGTACATTCCTCTATTGGCCAGCCAACTTGGTGTTCAATTCTTCGACGAGAAGTTGGCTGCTCTCTGCATGGGCTGGCTAGGAGATACAGTCTTCTCTATCCGTGATGCGGCAACAAAGAATTTGAAGAAGCTCACCGAAGTATTTGGCGTCGATTGGGCAAATGAAGCCATTATTCCAAAAGTTATGGCTATGGGAGCTCATCCAAATTATCTTTACAGAATGACCACCTGCTTTGCAATTACAGTAAGCTTTAAATTTTGCCCCTTGCTCAAAATTTTCTAACCTTATCCACAGACACTTGCGCAAGTCGTCAGTCTTGATGTTGTCTCAAATTCTATCCTACCTATGATGGACAAATTAGTAGCCGACGAGATTCCAAATATTCGTTTCAATGTCGCCAAATCATACTCTGAGATTATCTCAGTTCTTAAGAGATTGCCAGACGAGGGTACCGTGTATTCGCTAGAGAAGTCTGGTAGCTCAGAACCCCCCTCGGCTAGAGGTCAAGAACTTATCCAAGAAAGAATTCTACCAAATTTGGAAAAGTTGCAAAAGGATGATGATGTCGATGTTCGGTTCTTTGCTACTACGGCTGCAGCTTCTATTTCTGGCGAACCTATGGAAACCTCATAGATAGGGAGGTAAAGACGTCGCATATGGGAACAAAAATGTATCTTTTTTGCGCCAGTAGGTTGAGCATGGTGGCCTTGCTGCTTTCCTGTTATTCTAGATCGGAGCATGAATCCAGCATAGTCCCTTCTAATAAGTTTTTGATAAGCAACCTCCCATATATGCAGATGGTAGGCGATAAAACCGTAGAGAAACAAACCAAATGAGAACGATATACTAAATGATTCAATGTTTGTGATCAATTAATTGTGAAACACGCATCTTTCTACTATCCATGGCAGTGCAGTCTCTCGAGAGTCTCGACTTTCTTAGGCGGTGAACCCCATTATTCTGCCGCTATCGAGGATATCCACCAATAGCCACCCTCAATACCCTAATGCCATTATCTCCCGCACAACATCTTCCCTCAAGACTGAGTAATATTGCAATTGAACAACATTACGTTTCAGAATGACTTCAGAAGCATCTAAACCATCACATCTCGATCCATCAGCTCTAGGCACAAAAGAATAGTAAGTATGTCTTATGCTCTCTACAGATGATCTACCCCTCCATACTACCCCTCCATCACACAAATTTTCTCCTTCCTCGCACCGTACTTGCTATCCAGCACATTTGCATCCCCCTCTCTAATATCCAAAGCCATGTTCGTTAACAAAGAAGCTTAGTTGGGATAATCTCTATAATCGTGAAATTTCAAACCACGCACTCGATGCGACGGATGTAGGAACGATATGGTTTGATGATTCATCTGCAGAGGATAAAGTCGTAGATTTCTTGAACGGGGAGGTTTTCGAGAAGGATTTATTGGGATTGGGAAAAGGGAGGAGGAGGAAAGATTTTGGACTGCTGGATCTAGGGACGGGAAATGGTCACTTTTTGGTTAGGCTGAGGGAGGGGGAGGAGGATAGTGATGAGGACGAGGTGGAGGAAGAGACAGAGGAAGGGAGAGAAAACGAGGCTCCAGGAAAGAAATGGGTGGGAAGAATGATGGGTGTGGATTATTCGGAGAGATCTATTGAATTTGCGAAACGAATTGCGAAGAATAAATTAGAGGAAGGGGAGGAAGAGGGAACCGAACAGGGAAACGAAATCGAATTTATCACCTGGGATATAATGAAAGAAGATCCATCTCCAAAAGTTCTTAATGGAGAACAGGTAAAAGGATGGGATATAGTACTTGACAAAGGGACATTCGATGCTATTAGTTTGTCGGAGGAGATAGATGCGAATGGGAAAAGGATTTTCGAGGGATATAAGGAGAAGGTACTGGCATTAGTGAGAACGGGCGGAGTGGCGGTTGTTACGAGTTGCAATTGGACAGAGGAGGAATTAATTGAGTGGTTTGTTGGAAAGGAAGAGGATGAGCAGGGAGAAAGGTTCGAGGTACTGAGGAAGATTGAGTATAGAAGTTTTAGTTTTGGAGGAGTGAAGGGCCAGACAGTGTGTAGTGTTTGTTTTAGGAAGTGTGGAGGGAGCGAATAGATACCGGGAAAACCGTACTCAGAATGTTACATTGAGGGCTACGGCTCGTGGTGTGTGGTTTGAAGGCAGCAATCTCAGAGGGGTCATAGGCTCTCTCTAACTAACCTCGAAGTCAGATGGCGTCGAATATTACAAAAATGAATGTTGAAGTCCAATATTGGATATTTTCCAATGCAATACAACACACAATATCCATGGAAATCACGCTCCAGTGGTGCTTGAACGGGAGGTTCTTAAATTCCAAGCATGATGTGTACAATTCTTCATTTCATCGAAATGTTCTGGAAAGCACAAATGTTCAAGAAATTGAAGTCTGAAATTGCGCTTCCAGTTGGTCTCACAGTTCACTTGCTGTGATGTCTCTGAATATATGAAGTGTCAATTATGTGCTGTATATTTTTGTCAAGTATATATATAACATGAGAGGCTTCCTTATAATAAAAATTAAAGCAAGGTTCCTATTTCAGAATAGTGAAGTACTGTTCGTCTCATGTGACAACTCGACTCGATGCCTAGGACCTCTATTAGAATTATACTTCCCCATATACAAGGTCATTGACTCACCAAGCCGAATTAACCTAGCCTTATAACACTTCTCGATGCCTCAGATGTGATAATCCCCTAAACGCTCTAGGATGTCATTTTGATGTGCATCGTGTGCGGTTCATTGAGGTCATCGCGGCCTTCAAACTCCTGAGTGCAATTCATATGATTGCGACGTCATCACACAACTGCTAAGGCCTCATGGACCTCGAGACATAGAAGCTTGAAGCCCATGTCGCATGAGAAATGTGTGCGGGACGTTATTTCTTCCTGGTCAGGAAGTCATTCCAGTCATTCCGATTTAGCCCATTCATTATCTCCTCTCATTCTTATTTTTCTTCTTGTTTCCAACATTGCCAGTCGCGTTAGTTCTAGGCTCGCTGAGTCTAGCACGTCTTAATCTCCCCAAGAACTTTTCATCCTTCAACTCCTCTTTCGATACCATGAAAATTGTCCTATACATCAGTCCCACATTATGAGGACCACATGGTCGTGCATCACCACTTGCCTTACGTTTTTCGAAAAATGACTGGAAACAGGATTTAATTGCCGTTTCGACGGTCATTTCTTTGGGTCTCTCATCTTCTGAGACTGGAGTGTCTGGGCTCACATGATGCTCCAAGTCTCCCTCAAACTCGAGCTCTTCAAACTCCGGTATTTCAGTCAAGATTGGTGAAGGCACTATCGAGCCTTTGAACCGAGCATCTTCCTCCAACGTAAAATAAGGTCCACTGATATAGAGTTCATCAGTAGTATTCTGAGTTCGTGCTTGGGCTGCGTGATCGTTGGCGATGTTGTGCAGGTCGTGGAGGAGAACACGAATCTATTGGCCAATTAGAAATCTTCGGTGGTCAGAGATGACAAGGAGCAAGGGATGAGAGAAATCCACTTTATACCAAAGATCATGATCTGCTCGAAGATCTGATATGGAATGTGCAGAAGCACTCACGTGCTCTGAAGCAAAGCTATTCATCGATTGACTTTTTTTCTTGCTCATCCTTGGGACACTTGCTCTGAATGTCTTAAGTTTTGAAATAATATTTATATGTAAGTGTGTAACCAGAAGTCATTATGAATTAACTAGTGGATGGGCTGATGGGGTTATTTTAGCAGTTCTCAAACTACCGACATATTCACCGGGAGTAGAATTGTGAGAAAGCTCACCGGGAACTTCCTCTAATCATCCTCAATCCTTCTTCTCAAGAGTAAATTACTTCTTGAGTTTAGCTCTGAGCTCCCATTACATATGGTTGTCATTCGATGTCAAAATGGGAATATTCTATTGAGTTGACTAGAGATCACTGGCCAGGCTAGGCTAGTACTTAGGTAGTTTTTGGGATCAGTGGTACTGATAAAATAGGAGCCTTGCATGCAGGGCTGACAGCCTTGTTAAGAATATTACATAATCTCTTCTAGATGAGCATCTATCAATGAACTCGTCGACTCTCAACCCCAAACAACAGTTTCTCCAAACATTTCCTATATCAAATTCCTCAATAATGGCGCCAGTCAATAACGACGATCACAATGTCGTTACAAGCAAGTTTTCAATGATCCATATACTCTACAATCATCATATTAACACTCACAGATGAAATCAAGAACGTTATCCAAGACTTGTACGAAATAATGATACAAACGCATAATTACGACAGCGTCGGGCGACCGACTCGTGACATTCTCGAGAAGTCTCTCCTCCAACTCTCAACTTCTCTCCAAATCGTTTCTCATGCCACGGTTCCCGCTGGGCCTCCGACCGGAAAACCTCAATTTGATAGGGTTGCAGGAAAGGCCACGGATCTCGCATATGTTCCGCAGGATGTGATTCATTACATAGACAATGGGCGGAATCCAGACATTTATACGAGAGAATTTGTGGAGGCAGCGAGGAAAAATAATCAGTTGATGAGGGGCAAGATGCAAGCGTTTGGAGATTTCAGGGATGTGCTTGCCGGAGAGATGGAAAAGGTGTTTCCAGAATTGGAGGATGATATTAAGATGGTTGTAGAATATACCACTGATGACAAGGAAGAGAAAAAATGAGTGGGCGCTGCGTCGCTACACTACGGGGGTGAAAATAGGTCACGAGGATCTGGGAGAGCGACGAGAGGCGGGGAATGGAAATAAGATCACGTCTGCAGAGTGAAACAACGGAGGAAAGGGAGTTTATCAGAGAGGGCAGGTTTCTTGCCGGGTGAATAGAGTTTCTAGGAATTAGGATAAAAGGATTATGGGGCATTCAAGGGCTGGATTCGCATGGAGTTCCGGAGACTTACAAATGTGGGACATTGGAGTCATGGGCAATCGAACGAATGGAACATAATACCAACCTGATGGTACTCAGGACCAAAAGGAGTTTCGGTACAAGTACCGATCGGCTAGAAAGGATAATCATGCTACAGATGACATCATTCAGGTAGCTCATCTCATTTACTCATTTTCTGATATCACAATTCAGTAGTGGGACGAAAACAGTAATGTGTATGCAAATCATGGGAGTAATCATTTTTTGATTTTGTTTGACTTTTCTTTTCTGTAGGTAGGATACAGGGTACAGATCGAAAGCAATTCCAGGCATATATCTCTTTATCGATGATGCAACAAACGCCTCCAAAATAAATAGACAAGCAAGAACGAGGGAATACCTGCTGCCGTCCATATAACGAAGTTTCTCCTTCACGCCAAACCAACATCCCATATTCGCTCAACACAGAAGAGCCCTGAAGCTTGCATGTAAAAACTGACAGTAGAAGAAAAAAACTCTCAGGAAATCCATTCCCATGCATGCTGTCTCCCAAAAACACTTGAATCCCTAATATAACTCCAATCTCCGAATCTCCTATCTCCAAACCAACCTCTTGTACTCAGTCCTTTTGCAAGGCCCCCCATAAATAAAGCAAAACGTGATATAAGATATAATTCCCAAGCCCAAGTCCAAATCCAGAATGTAAATTTTATAAACTCTCCCTTAAAGATTTTCAAAAACAGTTTCGATGACGTCCACCGTAACCCTCACGATATATTCAATGTCCTCTTTCGTAACCAAGTAATTCGGCGACAACATGATGTGATCTCCACACATGCCATCTACCGTGCCGGTCCCAGGATAGATCGTCATATTATATGGGTGTGAGATAGCTAGATCGTGTACCTTCTGCGCAATGCTCAGTTTGGGTTCGAAAGCCACTTTGCTCTTTTTGTCTTTCACAAATTCAATGCCCCAGAATAGTCCTTTCCCACGGATATCCCCTACGTTGGGATGGTCGGAAAGATGTTGTTTGAGAAGTTTGCCGAGGTATGCACCTTGCGTGCGGACATTGTCAAGGACGTCATGCTGACGGATGATACGTTGAACTTCTAGGGCAGCAGCGGCTTGAACAGGCATTCCTTGGTATGTTTGTCCGTGGATAAATTGTCCAGTGCCGTTGTAGAGAACATTGACGACTTTTTGCGATATCAGTACGCCGGCAATCGGTTGGTAGCCGCCGCCGAGTCCTTTCCCAATGGTTTGGAGATCGGGAACGACGTTTTCGGATTGCCATGCGTGCAGAGTTCCGGTGCGACCCATGCCACACATGACTTCGTCGAGGATAAATAGCGCGCCGTGGCGATGACATACGTCGCGCATAGCTTTTAGGTAGCCGGGGAGAGCAGCGACGCAGCCGAGCGCTGCGCCGACGATGGGTTCGGCGCAGAAGCCGATGACAGTTTCGGGGCCGAGTTCTTGAAACTTGGCTTCGAGTTCGGCGGCTTTGCGAGAAACGAATGAGGCGTCGGATTCGTTAAGGAGACGTTGGCGATAGGGATTGCAGGAAGACACGTGATGGACGTTGGGCATCAGGAAGGGGGCATAGGGTGCGCGGCGTGCTTTGTGGCCTGACATGCCTAATGCGCCAAGAGTGTTGCCATGATATGAACCTTCTCGAGCAATGAAGTTGACTCGTGGAGTAGATTTATCTTTTTCGTAAAAGTACTGTCGTGCCAATTTGCATGTGGCTTCCATAGCCTCAGATCCTACGTTGAATTAGCTTGGGTCACATCCACATCAATGGTTGGCTGTGTAGCTAACTTACCTGAACCAGTCAAATAGACTCGGGCCATTTTTCGGCCAGTGCCGTTTATCAGTTCTTCGCAAAGATCGTCCACAGTCTCGTGGGCAAAGAATCCCGAGGCTAGGTATGGAATGCCGGACGCCATTTGCTGGAAAACGGCATTGGTGACTCGCTTGTTGCCATGTCCTAAACATGAGACAGCGGCGCCGGATGTGGCATCAAATATGACTCGTCCGTCTTTAGTGTAAAGATTACTTCCACTTCCTCGTACGATGACTGGAAATTCTTTGTGGAGATGTCGATCAAATAGGAATGTGGTTCTCTTCATGCCAAGTTGAACGGCCCCTCCATTCATATATGAAGATCCATTACTCATCGCCTTGGTGTTGGCGATGTATGCATCTT